ATCTAGTTGGCCTTAAGTAGAATAATTTTTAAGAAGAGTTTGAAAATGTGATCATTACTTGGTGGTGTTTGCAATGGGAAGGGAAGTAGGGGTACTGGTTTTCATAACATCCACATTGGAAAACTTTGGGGAAAAATTGAAAATGAAGTATTAATGAAATTCTAACTATCTTTAAGTTTTGAATTCTTCATAAATATTAGTGTATCAATGTTTTTATAAAGGAAAAAGGGTAAACATTGGAAATCATTTTGATTTTATAAGTTTTTATTTTTTTTAAAGATAAGCACTTTAATTTGTAGAGGATTTGAAAGCTAGATTACTTGAGAGAGTACATTTCTAAAGCAAAACTTGGATTTAGGTGAATAGTACTTCTGATAATACTATATTTTGTCAGTATCAGAACTGCTTCAGTTTACCATTTCTGACTTTGAGTAGAAAATTGCTGTTTTAGTCAAAACAGGTTTTTCAAATGGTGTGCACATTCAGAATGTCTCTTAGAGAAGAACTAGGCGGATTCAAAGTGATTGAATGGCTGAAAATGTCAATTCTAAAAAAAAAAACTAAAAGGCTAAATTCATTTCATAAGCTCAAATAATTTCAGGAACTCAGGGTAGAGGAAAAGCAGGCATGAGCTCTGCTTCCCATGGGGTCCCAGCCACCTCAAGGATGACCCCCCATAGACCCTTCACTGATCTACTTCCTTTCAACATTGTTAACTTTATGTTTACAGCATAATTTATCAGGAAATGATGATTCTACTCATCTCTTTTAGTTACCCTCTGCCATTGTCTTTACCCATTTTAATAGTGAACAATAGAACCATTGATTTAATAGAATATTGCATTTATTGGTGTGATCAACATTATTTTTCCAGTTATCATTGCTCTAATCACATATTATCTCACAGATAGTATATATATATATATTTTATTATTACTAAAGTGTGCCAATTTTCCTTTCACCTTAAATAGCCACAAATTTCTGTTGCCATCCTAATATATATATATATATTATATATATATATATATTTTTTTTTAAGATGTATGTATTCACACATAACTGGGGTACAGGCCAGAGATGTGGAGGGTGAGAGGATTTACCAGAGACAGAGGGGGGAGCAGAACAGGCAGATGGTGGAAGCACACTGCTGAGGGGAGCAGAGGGCGGGTCAGGAGAGGTCTGCCATGCCATGTGGTGATCTCTGGAGCAGGCGGGAATTGAACTCATGCAGAAGTGGCTTAAGCTTCTTAGTGCTGTGCTTTAACCCGCTGCACCACCAGGGAGGGCCCGTCATCCTAATAATTTTTTTGGCAATATAAAATACACATTTTTTTTGTTTGTTTCAATTACTATAGTTTTAACTGTTTTGTTCTTAGTTCAGATATTTTATTGAATTTAAATAAAAATGTGTAAGTCTTGGGCCCTCCTTGGTGGCTCAGCAGGTTAAAGCACTGCATTAAGAAGCTTAAGCCAATTCTGCATGAGTTTGATACCCGCCTGCCCCGGAGGAGATCCACGTGGCTAGGCAGACCTCTCCTGACCTGCCCACTGCTCCCCTCAGCAGTGTACTTCGTCGATCTGCCTGTTCTGCACCCCACTCTGTTCCTGGTGAATCCTCTCACCCTCGGCATCTCTGGCCTGTACCCCAGTTCTGTATGAATAAATAAAAAAATCTTAAAAACAAAAATGTGTAAGTTTTATTTTTAAATGTTTCTTTCTTTTTTTAATGAGACTAAGTTTGATTTAATTCTGTATTTCTCAGTGACACCCTCTTATTCCCCAGGGAAATTCTCAATGGAAAAAATTCATGATACACATGGAGTGAATATTCAACATGTATTTAGATTCCTATTCATTTGACATTTTCCATTGGGAATGTCAGCTATAACTTAATACTTGGTTTTTGGACTTAATTTAAACATAGTATTTTAGTTGGTCGAGTGGATGATATTCTAGTATGACAGCATAAATGCAATAAGAAAAGTTTCATTGTAGGAACAAGAATGTGTGGAAAGAAATAGCTTGACATTTTATCATATTGTATATTGATTTGTGTCTCAGAAAAAAATTCAATGTGCTTCCTTGCAGCTGTGATTTTCAGTTTGCCTGCAGGTAAACAGGAAAGGACTTGGTTCAAAGATATTCTTTGAATACAATAGATACATTTTTATTATCACCTGTCAAACCATCAGAACATTGAGACTTCTATAATTACTGATTTTTTTAATACACAGGCTACACATGCATAAACCAAAATAAATTGATATAATGATGCCTGTGTTATAGAATATTTTTTTTTTCTGAAAAAACCTCTTTACATGTCAAAATGCTTAATCTATTGACTTGTGCTTTTTATAGAAGATGGGCTGAAGAGCTTGTTATCTGAAATTGCCATTGTTGATGCAAGCTATTGTTACCTTCCAATAATGTGATTATTTTTACAGAATTGATATTTCTGTAACTGTCATGTCTTTTTGGTATGTACACAAAGAAAAAAAAATCACTATCTGGCCTATGCCCTCTCAAATCAGTAAGTTTTTTTTTTCTACTTAATATGAAAAACATATATCTATTTCCAATCATTTACTACTGTTTTAAAATACAGTCAATGAATTACAGATGATTAGTTGGTGGTATACAAATTTTAAATGAAAAAATGTGACATCTCACTTTTGCAATACGATTATTAATATACAATTGTTGGCCACTCCCTAGTGGCACAGCAGGTTAAAACACAACACTGGCCTTCCCTGTGGTGCAGCAGGTTAAAGCACTGCACTAAGAAGCTGAAACCACTTCTGCATGAGTTCGATTCCCGCCTGTCCCGGAGGTGACCACATGGCGTGGCAGACCTCTCCTGACCCGCCCGCTGCTCCCCTCAGCAGTGTACTTCGTCAATCTGCCTGTTCTGCTCCCCACTCTGTCTCTGGTGAAGTCTTTCGCCACCCCTGAGTCTCTGTCCTGTACCCCAGCTCTGTATGCACAAATAAATAAAATCTTTAAAAAACAAAACAAAACAAAACAAAACAAAAACAAACAAACAAAAAAAAAAAACACAGCACTAAGCAGCTAAAGCCATTTCAGTATGAGTTCAATCCCCGTCCACCCCAGAGGTGATCCACATGGCTGGCCTACTGCACCCCTCAGTCATGTACTTCATTGATCTGCCAGTTCTGCTCCTCACTTTGACTCTAGTGAATCCTCTCTCCACCCCTGCACCTCTGGCCTGTACCCAGTTTTGTATGCATAGCAATAATTTATATTCTAATGGTATCAGCAAATTTAATATTGTATTAATGAGACATTGATAATCATATTTTACTAGGAACAAAATTAAAATAAAAAAGTACATCTGATACAAGGTTATAAACAATTAGTTTTGCTTGGTGCAACGTGCTAAAGTAATGGGTTAAAGCACAGCACTGCAAGCTAGCCCAGCTACTTCAGCACGAGTACAATCCCTAGCCAGGAAGGTGACCTACATGGTGCAGCCAACTTCTCCTTTTGCCACCACTGCTTCCCTCAGCTGAATACTTCATCAGTTTGCCTGTTCTGCTCCCTACTCTGTGTCTGGTGAATTCTCTCCTTGCCCCTGTACCCCAGTTCTTTATCCATAAATAAACAAATATTTATAAAAAAGAAATATGCTTATTCTCCCACAGATTCTATATAAATTGAAGTCATTTTGACTCAAGACAAATAAACTAAAATATATGCCATACATAACAAGTGATAATGGCCCCTCTCTATATTGGTAGAGAAATATGTATAAAAGGATAGGATTGGTAGTCACTAAGGATTTAAAAAAGCAGAAACATTACTCTGAGATTCAAAGATAAGAATGTCATATATAATTGGGAAAAGGGAAATCCAATTCATCAGGTAGGTACATTTGATTAATATCATCACATTTTTTTTACAGATGTAGATGAATGCAGTATCTTAGAAGATATTTTATCCCAACTTGTTTCTGATAACAGATTCACTGACCTCTTGCTGGTACTCACATTTTCTTCTAAAAATAGAATTCTTTATTCAAATGAGTCTTTAATGGAAGATTTTGATATATAACTCTTTTGAAGTACATTGAGAAGGATAGGAGGGTACAGCTTGGGATTCTCCATCTCCACTCCTAGAGAATTTTCCATGATTTCTCAGAACACTGTAGGGGGTAGTGGCAGATGTGACTAAGGTAGCAGTTTGGGAGCACATTCCAAAGTCTTTGAATGCTAAACTGGTATATATGGTTGTATAGATCATATTCTTCACAAGCCAAGGAATTGTCAGTCACAACTGGTTAATGCAGAATGTGAACAGCTATTATGATAGATTTTGTACTTCATTTAGATAACAGTAGAACTTTAGTTGTCCTCAAGTCTAAGAATGCTATGATTGTATAGTAGTTGAGGGCCCTCCCTGGTGGCGCAGCGGGTTAAAGCACAGCACTGAGAAGCTAAAGCCACTTCCACATGAGTTCGATTCCCACCTGCCACGGAGGTGACCACATGGCGGGGCAGACCTCTCCTGACCCGCCCGCTGCTCCCCTCAGCAGTGTACTTCGTCAATCTGCCTGTTCTGCTCCCCACTCTGTCCCTGGTGAATCCTCTCACCCTCCGCATCTCTGGCCTGTTATCCCAGTTCTGTATGAATAAATAAATAAATCTTAAAAAAAAAAAGTATAGTAGTTGAAACTTAAGGAAAATAATCTTGTAGTGTTTTACAAAATGACTCACTTTTCAGACAAAAGAAATGAATATAGAATATTCAAATGTGGTGGTCTAGTAAAGGCTTAAACTTCATTTAATTCTATTCTGAATGGAGATTGCAAAATAAAAATGACTGACTTCTCAACTGACCAAAGTAACTGTATCCTAATAGGAAGAGAATGTTAATATCTGTAGTGATTGAGATGTAGTAAGAAACATTTTCCTTTGAGCATGTCAAATCGTTACAAATGATTCTGCCATATTAAATTAACAATTTATTTGATTTATCTTTAGGCTGAAGTCATTGATGTGAGCTATGGAAATGCAGATGATTTGAAAAGGATTAAAAACCTGAAAAACACCAAGAATCAGATTGCACTCCTGAAATTAGGAAAATTGCCACTACTTTATAAGGTTAGTCCAATGACTGTTTTAAGAGGTGAATTGAATTGTTTTGTTAGAATTTAAGTCTCTGTGGGTGTGAAGTGCTTGAGTGTTTGTGTGATAGGGGGAGTGATAGGGAGAGAGGTGTGGAGGGAATGAGGGGAGAAAAAGACCTACAGTGAAATGAAGAATATCATAGGAAGATGGTTTTGCCAACATAGGACATTTTAAATAAATGTCTTTAAGAGAAAAAAAAAAAATGGTACATTTTATTATTTAAGACCGGAGATAAGGTACTGGTGAATTTGCAGAGCCTTGATAAAATTGGCATACTCTTCATAAAATCTAGCTTGAGTGTTAAGAAATGAATGCCACTTTGTCCTTTTCATATGACATAAGTGAAAATTCTAATCTATTATCAACACTGACTAACTGCCATACGTTTTATGTTAGAATATTATCTATCTGATTTACACTCTTCAGTGATTGATTTTGTTAACTGTATAACTTCACAGCTACTGATTGTGCTCAGGAATTTAATTAAAATATAATATACTAAGGAGAAGTAGAATTTTGATTTATTTTATTTAAATAGAAGTTTATTAACACTCAACCACTAGATGCATTTACATAATTAAAGCAGCTCAATCTAAGTATCTCATAATGAGCCACAACAGTTGACAGCCAGTACTGCTTATTTTTACTTCATTTTCTTTTACTATTAAAATAGAATGGTCAGTGTAGTCACACCACTATAATTTTCTGCTTCTGGAGATATAATGGATTTACCCTTACTCAGCTCTTAAATGAGCTTTGCTAATTCCCAAATCCAAAAATGTTTCTAGAAATTGGTTATACAGTCTTATAAGGAGACAACAGAGTAACCTGTCCCTGTTATTTTGCCACTTTCTGAGTATATCCTTTTACTTAAATTATTTTCTGATAACTGGTCAGAATTTTAAGATAGCCTTGAATAAGTCATGTACAATAATATTAATTTTTGACAGGATAATTTGTCAGTTTGTATTAAATAACTTTGAATAAACACATTTTGACCCAATAGATACAGTTCAAGGAATGTATTTTAATGGGAAAATAAGTCAATGATGATAATAAACATGGAATCACTGATGTCATAAAATACTCAAAACAATGTCTGGTTTAGTATTTTAAAATTGTGCTATTGTTATGTAGCTGAATATATACAATACTGATTTGAAGAATATTTAATGCTGTAAAAATCCTCATAAGTCAAACTTGTAGTTGTTGTATAATAATGTAACTTCTAAAAGTAGTATTGTTAATATGGGCAAGATTTTTTCCTAATCCTATGTAATATATTATTAAATTGATGTTCACTCTAACCACATTGAGAACTTTCATTTAATTTATAGGTAAGGTAAGTAAAGCAGAAAAAGCTTAAGCCTCTCTTAGCTTTTAGACCCAGACAGTCTCATCTCAGTTCCTGGTTCTTTACATAAATGTTTATTTGTTTAGCGAGAGTAGACTGGTATATATGTCTATAATTAATCAAAATGTTGACTTGGAGTTTGGCAGACTCTAAGGTTAAAGTGAATGGATGTGTTAAAATGAGCTCTAACCAACAGGAATATTTCAAGGGAAATAAATGGAAACATGTTAGACTATAAAACCTCCCTCTCACTTCTGAATATAAAATATTTAAAATTGTAGGAGAGGATATTATTATCAATAGGAATTTGAGATAAATATAGTTTAAGTTCCACTACAAGACTGGTAGCTGGGACTTCATTGTGCCACAGTGGATAAATATATACTCTATGCAATTACAAGGGGATTAGTGGCTTGTTCTGACTTTAAATGGAAAATCTAAAGGTAAGAATGAATTTGCTGAGCATCTAACAAATGAGCACAAATGAGCAGAAAATAATATCTGTGTACACAGAGTTGATAGAAGAAAAATGCACATATCTCCAATGGGCCAGAAAATGGGCACAATTAACAGGAAGATGTGGTTCTCTTCTGCCTGAGAGTTACCTCTTAGAATGGAGAGCCAAAACCAGCCAGATTAGAGTATCTTTTTCCATGGCATGGAAACTACAGGGGATCATTCATCCATCAATAAAGTCTCTGCAAAATTGAAAGGTAGCTTAAATATCTGAGTGTAAGAAGCTATGAAACACTTTTAAAAGAGCAGAGACTGTAAAGGAAGGAAAGTTCTACCCACCAAATATCTACTTTTAAGACATTATCTTAAACAGAAACTAGAAGGGTTGATGCAAATGAAGTAAATTAGAAAGAAAAAGACAAGTACCAGATTATGTCACTCCTCTATGGTATATGAAGAAACAAAGTGAAGGGAAAAAAGAAAGTAAACCAAAGCAAATCCTAGAAATATGACTGCAAAATTGAGGCTACCAGAAGAGAAGGATGAGGACCCAAAGAGTTACTGTAGATGATAATTGTGCTTTGTGGTTGCTATCATGTGGTAACATACAGCTAAGTAGGTGTGAACCTGTATCTCTAAATCATATAAGATGTTTTAAATTAATGTTACCTAAATAAAATTATATGGTTAAAATAGATGGATTTTTAAAATAATATAGAATTTTAAATCAAGTGTACATTTTGATATAGACATGATATTCACTTATTTATTGTCGTGACTCACATTGATTGCAGGATTTTTTTAACTACCCATAGCATAAGTATTTAAGTATTTAAGAAAGTTCTTCTCTAGGTATATTTTAAAAGGAGAATGGGCAATAAGGTAATATTGCTGTGGATCCACTCTATGAAATCTGCTTGCTTCATCAATCAGTGATACATATGACTAAAGTGTTCTTGTGGGAAGGGTCAATTATATTAACTGGATAGATGGCCTTATGGATGCTTTCTACTTCTTTGTATTTTTCCTAAATTCCTAGATGCTCTATAATGATTGCATGTTTGTTTTGTAAGCAGAAATAGACATCTTTAATAATTCAGGTTAAAGGTGTCCATTGTTTTCGTTTTTTGTTTTTACTTTATTACCTTTGCTTTTCTGTCCCCCAACCCTGTTCCCTTACACATTTTTTTTTTCTTTTTCTTTTTAAAGATTTATTTATTTGTGCATACAGAACTGGCCAGAGGCTCAGGGGCGGAGAGAGGCTTCACCAGGGACAGAGTTGGGAGCAGAATAGGCAGATCGACTAAGTACACTGCGGAGGGGAGCAGTGGGCAGGTCAGGAGAGGTCTGCCACGCCATGTGGTCACCTCCAGGGCAGGCAGGGATCGAACTCCTGTGAAAGTGGCTTTAGCTTCTTAGTGCTGTGCTTTAATCCGCTGCACCACCAGGGAGGGCCTTTTTTCTTTTTCTTTCTGACGTTTCACTAAGCATGATTTATTCTAGCTTCATCCATGTTGTTACAAAAGGTATGAACTTTTCTGATTTCTGGGTAATATTCCATTGTGTCTATGTACTATATCTTCTTAATCCAGTCATCTATTTTGTGGTTGATTCCATACATTCCCTATTGTAAAAAGTGCAGTAAACATGGAGGTGAATGTGTCCTTTTGAATCGGTGTGTTTGTGTACTTTGGATAGATGCTTCGGAGTGGGATTGCTGGGTCATATGGAAGCTCTATTTTTAGCAGTTTGAAAAACCTCCAAGCTTTTCACAGTGGTTTGCATTCCCACCAGCACTGTAGAAGAGTTCCTTTTTCTCCACATCCTTGCCAACATCTGTTGTTGCTAGTTGTTTTAATATGTGCCATTCTCACTGGTGTGAGATGGTAATGGGGAATGGGATCAAAACTGGGGTGGGAAGAGCGATGAGACTATGGTGATGGTACATGGGTGAACTGGTGGCAGGAAGCCCATGAGGATTACAAGTGAGATGAAAAAAAAAAATGCACAAATGAAGTATGATATAAAAAATAAATAAAATAAATAAAAATAATAATTCAGGATAAGATTCCATTTCTATTTTTTCTAAAGAGGTTATAGGTTAGTTACTAAATTTCCTTACCAGTAGATAATTAAGTCAAAACAAGTTTGTATTGAATACTCATGAAAATAATTATATTTTTTAACTTGTTGGCCACATCTACAAAGTAGTAAATCAATTCTTTATATAGAGTTGATCACAACTATTAAGAACTTATTTTAGTTGTCTCATTTTTTTTAATAGTTCTAGGAATATATTTAACAGAGAGTTCCAAGAATTCTTCAAGTTAATGAACTTTTAACCAGAGGAGACAGGGAATCCTTTCTTTAACCTTTTAAATTATATTCTAACGAATTCTGTTTTTTGTTCCCAAATACTTGAAGGAAACATTGATATTCTTTTAATACACATTCCCATATAAGAGTAAAAGAACCATGCATTAGACAAGTGTACATTATATATCTGACCTTGCCTCACCTGTTGTCAAACATACTCTAAGGCTGAAATTCCAAAGTAGGTTAAGAGAGTAACATAGATGGGTTGAATAAGCCACGGGACCAATTGACTTTTATGGGAATTACAACCATTATTCATGATTCTGAATGAGCATCTGGGCGTGAAACATGAAAAGGTAACCTTATTTTAGCTGAACAGTAGTTACTAAGTCATAGTTCAGAAATGAATTTGGGAAGGAAGCTTTGCATCTGAGATTGGAAGAGCAAAGAAGAAACATAATTTTGATATTACACCATCTCCTAAAATGAGTAGAAAAAATAATCATAGTCATGAAGGAGGGGGTGTCATTAGTTTTATGATAAACACTAGGAATTTTGTTAATGTAGTCTCCAGGAAGGGATTATTCAAAATCCCCATATTATGTAGCATGAACTGTCAAAAGCAAATGACTTTTTGATACATACTTTGACATCCACACATTAATGGTGCAGGAAAGAGCCAACCACATTTTCCAGAGCTAGTCTGCGGTTACTTTTTTTAAATGTAAAACTCAAAGGAGAGATGTTTAGGTTCATTTTAACTTTATTTTTTTAGGGTTTATTATATAGTAAAATCACTTATTTTTTTTAAAGTTTTAAGACAATTTTCTTTTATATGTCATAATAG